TATATATATATATATATATATATATATATGAGGGAAAGTGTAAGAGGCACCCATTTTATTTATGATTTCTTTGTGCGTGTGTGTTTGGTTGTACTCTTTGTTTTTGTTTTGTTTTGTGGATCGTTGTGTCTGTTTGTTACCGTTCATCATTGCCCACACGTACAGTAGCGCCCCGCACACATTACACACGCACCTCAGTCGTGAAACGGGAGCGGCGTTAGGTTTCAGATGGAGAACTACGTCCCAATACGGGTGTTGGGCAAAGGAAGTTTTGGCTCGGCCTGGCTCGTGCAACGGCGCAGTGATCGGGTACAGTTTGTTGCGAAGGAGGTGCGCCTTCTTGGGATGAAACCTGGGGAGCGGGAAAGTGCAAAACACGAGATTGACGTCCTGCGCACCCTCAATCACCCCAACATCACCCGCTACGTGGACCACTACGAGCGAAACGGTTCGCTTTATATTGTGATGGAGTACGCCAACGGTGGCGATTTGTATACCAAAATTAGGAGCCGTAAGGGGGCACGTTTCACAGAAAGGGAGATTTTGCATTACTTTTCCCAGCTTTGTCTCGCGCTTCTTCACCTGCATGAGCGTCACATTTTGCATCGGGACCTTAAGACCCAGAACGTCTTCTTGACGAAGGATGGAGTGATAAAGTTAGGGGACTTTGGCATCAGCGCCGTCCTGCGGAACACCTTTGAGCTGCGACGAACGGTGTGTGGGACACCCTACTACTTCTCCCCCGAGCTTTGCCTCAATAAGCCGTACAACAACAAGAGTGATGTCTGGGCGCTGGGATGCATCTTGTACGAACTCACAACACTCACGCACGCCTTTGATGGAAATAATATGAAGGCGCTCGTGCAGAAAATCCTAAAGGGGATGTATCCCCCAATACATAGCAGTTACTCGCAGAATCTCTCCACGTTGATTTCTACCATGCTGCAGATTGACCCAAGGTTGCGTCCCAACGTTAGTCAACTTATTCTCCTTCCATATATTCGTGACTCTCTGTCGAGTCTGCAGAGAGCTGTGCAGGTTGCCCATCACGATCATAAACCGTTTGGACCACAGGGAGGAAAGGAGGAGCCTGTCCACCCGCCGTCACCGCCATCGTCACCGCAGGAAAGGATGCAACAAGCCGAGGACCGACGGAGGGACGAACAGGCGAAGACGATGAAATTGGCGAGGGAGCGACAACAGTTGCGGCAGCAACTGGAGCAGCGACAACGCGAGAACGAGGAGCGGTTGCGGCAAATACAGGTGCACCAGCGGCAGGCCGAAATAGAACGCAATCAGCGGAAAAAAGAGTTGGAGGCACGTATACGCGAGCAACGACGAGAAGCAGAGAAACGCGCCAAGGCGCATGCCATCGTTTACAAACAACGAGAAGAGGAATGGGAACGCAACTTGCGGGAACAGGTAGAGGAGTACAAGCACAGGCAGCGTGAAGAGGAACGTCTTGCACGCGAGAGAGCGGGGCAGGGTGCTCTTCGTGAGAGGCTTCTCAAGAACGATCCCACCAACAACAACAATGAGAAGTGTAATGGGGACCTTGAGATGCACGCGCCCGCAGTTTCCGCCAATGCCGTGGAGTTGTATCGGGAGATGCGGCGTCAGGCTGCTCTGAACAAGCAGCGTGTGCTGGAAGACATGAGGGGGTTACCGGAGCGTGTGGATCCGCCTGTCGTTTCCGTTGCGGAGGGGATGAAGCACGTGCCTCAAGCCTTGCTAGAGCCTTCACCGCATGCTCGGCAGCATCATATTAACTCGTTGGGGAAGATGGAACCAGCGGAGGCGGAGGAGGTGCGGCGTCAGGTGTACTGGCAAATGCGACGTGAGGCTCAAGAGAATAAGAGACGAGTACTTGGCCTTGAAGAGGCTTTAGGCGTAGCGCTGCCAAAGCACCTAGCACCATTGCCACATCCGCCACAAGTAGCACCGCAACAGGAGCCAAGGCAGGAGCAACAGCGCGAGCAACATCAGGAAGCACCGCCGCCACCACAACAGGAACAGGAGCAGGAGCAGAGACAACCATTGGAGGAATCTGCGGAGGAAGGAGAAGTGGTGGTGTGTGCAAGGCCTCTAGTGGAGAACGGGGCGCCTTGTGCTCCGACACCCTCGACGGCTGCAGAGGAGGAACCTGGCTGCACATCCGCAAATGGTGAGACAGCGACACCTGAAGGCGACAGTGCAGGGAAGAAGCGGGATGAGGACTACAGCGCTCTGCAAACTGCTATTGACGCTGCATTAACGCAAGAAGAGCAGCGTGCGGAGGTGAAGGACTTTAATGATGAGGCCTTCTTCGACGCAGACCCGTCAAAGTTTATGCTGGATGGACAGACACTTGTCCTTCCAAATGTGCAAGCAACGGATCCACTGATGCATCGCATCGAATCACTTCGTTTGTTCCTTGAGGGCCAGTTGGGCGAGTCTGCACTGATAGCCTCGTACCGTCAAATGAACAACATAACCGCGGACGATGACGAGGCGATGCAGCGTGTGGCAGACATGCTTCCGGAGGAGAAACAAAAATTTATTCCTCTAATTGGACAACTGATTGTGTGCGAGGATGCATTTAATCGTCAGCTTCTACAGTAGCCCTAGACGGTTGGTGAACCTGTTCTTTTTCCCCACACGCTATTTACACACGCTATTGCGGCTTCCCTGTTCATGAATACAAGTTTGTTTGTGTGTTTTAATTTGCTTATTTTGTTGTTGTTGTTGTTGTTGCTTCTGTCTGCGCCCGGCCTCTGCATCTCTTTTTCATCGAACCGAAATAGTTATAACAATAACATTATGAATATGGCGTAGATCATTTTTGTTTTTGTTTTTTGTTGTTGTGTGTTTGGTGGCGTGAATGAAAGGTGTAAAACGTGTGCGTCTGTGTGGGTGTATCAGCGAAGGCGTGTTGGGCGGGTTTATTTCTTCCACTGAGTTGTTGTGTTGTTGTTGTTTTTTTTTTTTGCAGGGATATGTTGTGCCCCCGGGTAGCATTACGTCTTTTCGCTTCTTTTCCCCGTGGTGTGGTTGCCTTTGCAGTCTGGATAGCATACTTCCACGTCTGGGACAGAGTTGTCTGTATTTGCTATGTTTGGTTTGTTATGTATCTTCTTCTTCCCATTACAATTTTTATTATTCTTCCGGTGTTTTGTCTGCCCTGCACGGAGCCAGGCGAACACAGAATGTTGTGGCTCTGAAGTGACCATTTTTATGGAAGCGAGTGTCGAACCCCTCCCGTGCAAGGGAATTGAGCATATGTCTTTACCAGACGTGGCATGCTTCTTTTTTTTTTTTTGTTCTTGCTTTTCTCCACCTTAGCCCCTTGAACTTTATTGTGGGCACTGCGTCGCAATATATGCGTGTGCGTGTGTGTGTGTGTGTGTTTTTCAGTGCCACAGGAATAACGTCACGCACCAGGAAAAGGAAATGAGCGACCCGAACTAATTTTTGTGAGGGGGGATTGCAATGTGTGCGAGCGCATTAGAGATGAATGTCGTCCTTTTACTTTCTTCTTCACTGTGTTTTTTTTTTTTTCCACTTGCCTGTCGTGGTGGTGTGTACTGTTTGCTTCTACACACACGCACACATACATAAGTTTATATATATATATAAATATATCGGTGGCATAGGAAAGGGCTGATAGCAACCCCGCGTAGCGGAGCTGGAGTGGAATGTATCGCACTGCTGCTTTGCGAAAGGCGACGTACAATGTTGCTGTGGTGGGCGGCGGGCTTACCGGTTGTCTTGTCGCCGGGCGTCTTGCGATGGAGAATGTGACGACCGTCGTTCTTGAGGAGGGTGACGACATCCGAAAGAAGCCGCGGTGGTACCGAAACACTCCCTGCAGTCTCCTTATTCACCGTTTTGCGAGGCGCAACTATGAGAGTTGTGAAAATGTGACGACGCCGCAAAAGACGCACAGAGCAGAGGACACGCCGGTGCCTGTGACGATTCCCACCCCACGAGTACTTGGCGGGGGTGGCATTATGGGCGGCCGTTCGTGGAACCTAGGTGATCAAAAGGATTGGGATGGTGCGGGGTGGAGCTTCCGCGAGGAGTTGCTCCCTCGAGTGCAGCGGCTTGAAAACTTGGAGGATTCTCCTCCGCACCGTGGACGGCACGGCAAATTTTTCATTTCACGCTCCAAGGCACTCTCTCCTTTTTTTAAGTCATTTTGTGAGGCGATGTCAAAGGACACGGCTCTGACCCCTGGGTTTAATCGAAAGGAGTACCATGTTCGCCCCGGTTGCGGGCGTGCTGAGACATTTGTAGACCAACGATCTGGAGTTGCTCACACAACCCTGCAGAGCTACTTGATGGATGCTATCACCCTTAAGCGCCCCCTGGAGGTCGTCTGTAACGCGCGGGTCATTGGCATCAACGCAAAAGACAACGATAAAACGACCACCACGGGCGTTTCCTATGTGTTGCCCAATGGTGAGACCAGGTGTGTTGACGCCGACACTGTCATTTTATGTGCTGGAGGAATTGGGACGCCGCGCCTGCTTGCCTCTTCGCAGGGAACACTTTCTATTGATCCCGCCGTGGGCACAAATTTCTGGGATACACCACAAGTCAATATGCAGTTTCGAACCCGCATTCCGCTGAGCCACAACTGTTTCATGGAGCCTCTTGTACAGATGTGCGTGGGGCTGAATCTCATGTATGGCAAGCCTCTCCCTGCGCTGTGCTCTGCGTACGATGACATGATATGTTATTGGTCTAGCACTGGGGATCAAACCCCAGACGTGAAATTTATTTTTCAACCCTTCACGATGAACAACGACGGCTCCACTCCATCAGACGGGGCGCATGGGGTGCAAATCATTGCGCAGCTGTTGCGCCCCAAGAGTCGTGGTTGCATCCGTGCCGATGGAACGATCGACCCCCAGTATTTGACGCACCCGGATGACGAAAAGGCCCTTCACAGGGCGGTTGCGCATATAAATAAGCTGGCCACAGCGCTTCCGCTCTCAAACATTTTTACTGGTGTGATTGGTGAACGCTTTGAGTCCGCCAGCATCTACGGAGGGGCGTCATTTCCCGTCTTGAACCCAGCTACATTTAGGGTGAAAAACACAAGCAATGTTTACGTGTGCGACGAAAGTGTCCTGCGATCTCCGCTATTGGGCGATTCACTGCCGTATATGCTGGCGCTGGGAGGGAAGTTTGCCGATGAATTTCTGCGCAAACCTGACGTGCATAGCAAGAGGGAGGCTGCAAACAAGGAAATGAACAAGGCGCGGATTATTTACTGAGCTACGCGTTGTTAATATATATATATATATATGGTTGGTTTCTTTTACAGATTCTACCACTAGTTGTTGTTCCTGTTCTTACGCGCGTGTTTATATCCATTGAGAGAAATGCAATGGAACTTTGTTTTCGCCCTTTCACCTTGACTCTGCTTTGTCGCCAGTCTTGGGGGAGGGGGAGGGGGGGCGTGAGGCGTCTCAAGTGTACGGCATTTTGTCTGTTTGTCACTCTTTCACCGTCAATTAGTATTGCTGCTGCTGCTTTTATTGATGTGCTGCCTTGCCTGAATTGTTCTTTCCCTTTACTTTGTTCAGGTGTGTTTTAAGCAGGTAGCACTTAAGCGTCAAGGTGCGACGTTCGTCTTCTCACATTGTTTTAGGTCGTTTTTTCCCCGTTTTTATTTTTTGGACGTCACCGCCCAGAGAGAAGCAATTGTGACGGTGTTGTTGCGCGGGGGAAGCGACTGGGCACGCAGGAAACATCCGACGGAGGCCAAGAGACGAAGCAGCAAGAGTGGCGCGGCAGCGAGGACACATTAAGGAGCGGGAGGAGAAGCATTAAAAATAAAAAGAAAAAGAAGGGGTTGTGAAACACACCGCATTCACAACTCAAAAAAAGGAGAAAGGGGCGTTTGCTCGGGACGAATAGAGCCAGTCAAAGAGGCGCAGGAGTCTTTTTCAGCACCAGGGAGTGGAGTAGCGCGGAAGATTATTTGCTGATATTATTGTGGTTATTGTTATTGTTATTATTATTATATTTTTGTGCGTGTTTGGTTTGCGCGTTGTTGTGTTTCCGTTCCCTTTGCCACTGGCCTGCGCAGCGTTCTTCAAAATGCGGGAGGGAGCCTCAATATTGTCGACATCTAGCATGGTGGCAGGCACCCCCCAAACAGATGGCCTCATCCAAGAGTTGGGAGAAGCCGGGCCGCCGAGCAACGTCCGCAGGCAGTTTGCCATTCCCAAACTGGATGAGAAGCAGCTTGAGATGAAACTCCAGGAAACACACGGAACCGCCACCTCGTATGACTTGTTTGAAGGAGTAGTGAGCAGCGGTTCGAAACCAGTAACAACAACCTCTACGGCAGCGACAACGACGGCGACGACGACGGAAGCAAGTTCCACACCACTGAATTTAAATGCCTCAGCGTTTGCGCTGGGGACGGGAAATAGACACGGTGGCGCAAACAGGATTGCCATTGATAGTCCCTCCGCAGCCACCGCTGCTTTGTTAAACATGCAATGCCAAGCTCAGCAATACCAGATTCCACATGTGGCCCAAGCTGACCAAGAGGTTTACCTCTCACAAAGTCTGCTTCAAGTGTGTTCTCGGGAGGTATTGTTGTGGGTCTTGCACTCACTTGTGGAGGAGTCTCCAGGGCTTGCTCCCTACATTCGAATGCGCTGTGAAAAGGCTCTACTTCTGATGTTCCAGCAGCAACAGCAGCAACAGCAGCAGCAGACCACAGCGGTGGGGACCTTTGCAACATATGCTACTGGTGCAGGTGCAGGCGCAGGCGCAGGCGCAGGTGCTCCTACAGGGACTCCATCATGGCCGTCACATATTACTGCGAGCAATTATGGAAGCCCACGAGGTTCCTCATACACAGGCGCTGCATCTCCTCAAGTAGGTAGTGCTCGTAAGGGGCGGGGAAATAAGGCTCGGGAGGAGGGAATTTGCAGCTTGCATAACAATGTGCGTTCCATGAATCACTTGCAGCTTAATAAACAATCAGGACTATACGAGTGTGTGCATGGTTTTCATTGCCTTGAGGACGGAGGGTCTGCCGCTGTTACACCGTGCAACTTCAAAAATACCACTGTCGCAAGTAGTGTCAACCCAAGTGCCAACAAAAGCTACGTTACTAATTCCAGTTCGGGGGCTCAGCACGTTTTAAAGATGCCATCTTGGCAATCTCGGCAAACAAAGGAAGGCAAAAGTGTCTTCAATGAAAACTTTGGTATCATGAAGACAATGACCCCAACTGTCCCAACCATCCCAACTCCCCCTACCACCGCCACCGCAAGCAGCAGCAACAGCAGCATTCAGTGCAACAACAACAACAACCAAAAAAACGGTGGGTCATGTGTTGCTGAGTTAGATCTGAGCGGAAGCATTGACCCAGTGTGTCATGAGTCGGGTAAGGTCTACGCGAAAGGTGGCTCGCCGGGATTCAATTGTGACATGGATACATTGCAAAATATACTGCAAACTGTCCGTGAGCTAACCACAGAGGAAGGAGAATGACCGTGCTTGATGGAACATGCGGACGCACGCCTTGGAAGGAAACGTTGTAAAATTGGGTGGAGCTGATGAAGGAAGAGCCAGGTTTTTGTGGTCAATGGGAGCTTGTGTATCCCCTTCTTTGCCCCGTCCTTGTTATCCCCCCGTACTTGTTGTTGACTGCCCCCACCTTTGGCTAGCCTCCGTCTCATCTGCGCAATGCTTGAAAACTGCAATCAATTTAATTGGAACAAACGGGTCTAATCAGTGACGCCTAGAAGATCATAATACTGTGCAATGTCGATCTGCTTTCTCGACTTTTCTTCAGTGCCGGTGAGTGTGCGTCGTGTAGTGTTTGTATCCCCCTCCCCTCCCCTCCTCCTTCCTTCACTGTCTTATTTCCCTCTTTCTTTGTGTGTGTGTGCGAGAGACCGCACTGGTTTGTGTTGTTATTGAGGAGGGGGATGGAAAAGGACGGGGTGTAAAGAAGAAATTGGGGCCTGAGCCATAATCAGATGTACAAAATTTGTACTAAAGAAAAGTGTGAGAAGTGCGCAAAGCTAAACGAACGACAACAAGACGAAGAGAACATATAAAAACAAAAAGTTAAAAAATATATATATGAATAAAATAAAATAAACAAAAGAAAAATAGAATAAATAACACATTTAAAATGAATATATATATATATAATAATAATGTGTTCATGCTGTTTTTTCGTTTTTTTCCGTGTGACACGAAGGAGGGGAGAAAGTGCAGACGAAGGCAAAGAAGCAAAAAAAGAAAAAAAAAACGTAGG